TAATTATTCTCGAGAAACAAAACTACTCTCTACCGGTGGATTAATTCGGTAGTCTGTAGGTCGGGGCTTTAATAAGAAAATAACGCGTTGAGAAATAATAATTAACTATCCTAATGCCACTCGATCGATCACGGGACAAGTATTATGACCGATCTTGGGATTAATGCTTTAGAAATATAACGGATTATTCAGGGAAAGAATTATCGTTTCAGAGTAAATGGACACCCGTCTTCTTCTCCTGCCATTCTGTTGAGGATTTCTATTATTTCTTCTTCGGTCGGAACAATTAAGGTTCCACATTCGGACTGATAGGTCTCTGACGTCCTCATCGCTGCTGGACTCTGTGTTACTAACTCGGGGCTCACGGTGATACCTCGGGTAAGTATTGGTCGGTGTTAATGCCGTTCCGGTAGGCTGGGTTTCTTCTGACCAGGGTAGCAAACTCCAATCCCATAATCCATCTGGTAAATTCCCAGGCTCTGGATCTATGGAGTAAACATCCGTCAAAATCTCTTCTCCATACTGACTGCAACTCTTGGTAGATCCATTCCTCCACGCCGTTTGTTGTATACTGTGTACATGCTGTACTCGTCACATCCTCCGTGTTTAAAGTTGTGGAAAGGATCTTCCATCAATCTCTCTCAAAACAAGTCCCCTTTTATTCTCAATACACAAGATCGTAGTTGCAAGAGAAATCTGGTATGCCTGGGTTTGGATCGTGCCATCTACAAAACTCATATTCCGGCCCGATGAGCTTATTTAATACCTGACAAATATTGACCGAGAAAGCCTCGCGAACGTCCTCTTCAATGCGCACATTCGCATAATCGTTCTTAAATTGCGGTCTGTCAAATTTCGGCTCTTTTTTATCGAAAGGATAGTTATTCACGTCGTCGAAAAAGCGGTCCCAAAGCACTACTTCAATCGGGGAATCACCACCCGTGCTCGTAGTTGTCTATAAGGTAGAACCGTTATGAGCATGGGAAATAGATGGCGTAACACACGACAGCGCCTCTTCTAGGCTGAAGAACTAGAGAAATAAAGTGCGTGTGACAGAGTAAAACATTACGGATACAAAATCTGCAGTTCTCAATACTTACATGGCAACTTGATAATGACATGAATGTGCCTTCTTTTCGGCGTGTCAGTCCAGTATTCATAGAGATAATCTGTCGGCGGCAACTGGTTGTCGTCTTGTAAAGTTTGTCCCTGAATAAGGTCGTCGCGTTTGACTGGGATTTCCACCTTCCATAGTCTCAGTTTATCAGGAGGCCAACTATCAAATTCTGGTGCTTTCTTCGCCTTAATAGCGTCTTTCAGATGACCGACGGTCCGGTTCTTGTCAATGTCAACAGGAAAAGCGGGCGTTCCTTGGACAAGGCAGAAGAGAGTGATAGACATTACTATTACAGGGTTTTTAGGAGTTACGATTGTGGTGTGGGTGAAGGTCGGATACGAAGAGAAAGTGACTCAGCCCTGTTTATTATTATTATTATGTGTTTTACTTGCACAAACACGTGATACTTTCCGTATTGAAGCGCCGAATCAACTATAGATCGGGAACCTTCCATACTTTGTTCAGAGACACGATAATATTATGAAGGACGATTAAGTTTTCTAAATTTAATATTAAGTGATCCGCGTTAATTATAATCATCCAATCACCGTATCGCAATCTACAGAATGGTCTCATGTCATATAATAATAACTCATCCCTAATACTAAAGACCGCCAAGAGAATACAAATCCAGAGTCATTTATGGCTACGTTATCTGCAACCAGTGGTCCAAGAAGAAACGTGTCGTCACCCAATCTTCCAACAAAGCCTACTTCACATAATGGTATTCAAGTGCTCTTGAGAATTTTTACCTTTTACTTTAAATCTCTAACTCATTCAACGTTTGAATTAGCATTGGAGGAATCTATAAGAACGTACAAATTACTTGAGGCTTTGCGAGCCGGTATGTCTAAATGAATACATTCTCTATGCTCACCAGTCAACTGATCTAACGTCTTTGCATGTCGACAGGTGACACAGCGCTATTATCTACCCTTCTATCCACCAAAGAGGAAACCGCGTCAACTTTCCAAACATCACCTCTCACGCTCGCTACTCAATGTGCTACAACAGCCACGATCAACTTCATTCTGAATAACTTTGCTAATATAATCGATATCAACCAGCGTGATCAATATGGTAATACAGCGCTGCATTATGCTGCAAAAGCAGGACGAGCAGACGTTGTTGAAGTATTGCTCAAACAGAAGAACATTAACGATGCAATACTCAATAATGATGACAAGCAGCCAGTCGACGTTGCTAAAACGCCAGAAGTAGCTGAAATCTTAAGAGGTGAGATTTTGATTTACATGTCGATCTCAAGCGACAACTCCCCCTTTTTTTATCTCAACTAATACTGAGTTGCCAGTTGATCGAAAACAGTATATAGAACACGTTACTGCCCTATTTCGACAATTCATTGGACAGAATAATTTCAAGGCTTTACAGAATCTATTCCATGATCCACGAGCTGCAGCCTTGATAGATATCAATCATCAGGATTCAAGCACTGGTGCCACTCTGTTGCATGAAGCTGTCCGAAAAAAAGATCTAGAAATGATAGAATTCTGTCTGGATCATGGGGCAGACGTGTCGATAAGAGATAGGAAAGGAAAGTTGGCTCTCGATCTCGCCAAAGACGATAGAATAAAAACAATTTTAAAAGATGGTAAGCGACCAGTCGCATTCAAATCTGAATACTATGTGATCTGTAATTGCTGCTGAGCGCAACCATTATTTATTCTCTTCCAGTTACAAATCAAACTAGTATCGTCATTACGACCTCACCAAACCAGCAGCCAAAGCTGAAAGGTTATCTGCACAAGTGGACCAATTATGCTGGTGGATATAAGACAAGATGGTTTGTACTAGAAGACGGTAAGTTTCCTTAAACACCTATTTTCGTCCCCATGTCTTGGCCTATATTGAATGGCACTCGCTAAACTTCTTTCATTAGGCATCCTATCGTATTTCAAGAATCAAGACGACGCTGGAAACTCGTGTCGTGGTTCTATTAATATGAAAATAGCAAAGATAAACCCCGATTCTTCTGACAGACAACGTTTCGACATAATCGGTAAAGGCTCTATACGATATCACCTGCGTGCGAATCACCCGAACGAAGCAAAGAAATGGATTTTGGCATTGCAACAATCTATGCAATGGCATAAAACTAGAAGATCGAGTCTAAACGAGGAAACAAGCATTTCCCCTGTCACAGATGATGGTGCGCGTGCGGGTCGAAGCATGCAACGGGCCGATGATACTGGTTCATCTCGGCGTGAACGGTCGAGATCGCCGTCTGACGATTCAATTGAAGCCGATGAGTTGCCACACGGTGAGAATTATCAAATGTCCATTAGTTCAGCGAGGGCACAAATAGAACTGCAAAAACAGCTTTCACGGTCATTAATAAGTGTCATATCCTCTAACGAACTATCACAACTGGGCAATAATAAGATCATTGTTGAAACGTTTGAAAAGTCACTTAACGAATTGCACATTTTTGTTGAAGATGTAATACGTATGAGCGAAGATCGGGATTCATATTGGCAGCGAAAGGTTGGGAATGAATTAGAGGCCAAAAGGCTCTGGGAAGAAAGTATGCGAGCACTGACGATCGAACAAGTCCAAATGGAACAGGTTATCCAAGATAATATATTAGAACAAAAAAGAAAAAAACGGCAGATGCGTGCAACGTATTCTGGCAGATCAGCATCTCCGATATCGCCGCATGCAGATATGTCACACATAACGGATAAGGGTAGTCAGTCGGCTCTGGTTATGAACGAAGTGTCAGAGCCTATCGACATTATACAAAACGAGGTTGAGAAATATGATTCGGATGAGGAATTTTTTGATGCGATGGATGCTGAAAATGAGGAACTTGAGGAAGTGGCCCACGCGCTAATAACCACCACGCTTACAACAGACGACTTTGGCATAAGCCAGCCCTACATAGCACCATCATATGCAGGATATCCGCCTAATATACGTGAACGGCTTCCGTTGGATCAGAAATCTCTACGACCAGAAGTATCGTTATGGTCCATCTTGAAGAACTCTATAGGCAAGGATCTTAGTAAAATTACGTTACCGGTTTACTTCAACGAGCCTACGTCCATGCTACAGAGAATGGCCGAAGATATGGAATATAGTGAACTTCTTGATATTGCAGCGAGTCAAAAAGGCAGCACTGAGAGAATTCTATATGTTGCGGCATTTGCAATGAGCAATTATTCAAGTACTGTTGGAAGGATTGCTAAACCATTTAATCCCTTGCTGGTAAATTAGACTATACAAGCTGTCTGCATATTCTCTCTAGTCTGGTACATTATTTCTAATCGCTGATGGGATTCTAGGGGGAGACCTATGAATATGTTCGACCTGACAAAGCTTTTCGATACGTGTCTGAACAAGTCAGCCATCATCCGGTGAGTATTTTTTTTTCCTTGTTTATGTCGATTGTTGTCTCTAAGCAATGTTAACGGGTTTTTACCTTTATGGGAAAAGCCGATAAGTGCGTGCTACTGCGATTCGCCAAATTACGAATTTTTTGCAGAGGTTGATGTGAAATCAAAATTTTGGGGAAAGTCATTCGAAATTATGCCGAAAGGAGTATCACATGTAAACCTAAAGGTTCCTAAAGAATGTATGCCGCCAGATGCTAAACAAACACCAAAAGACGTGAGTGAAAACCCAGATGCTTTTATAGAACATTATTCATGGAAGAAGGTTACTACTTGCGTGAACAATTTAATTGTCGGAACACCGTGGATCGATCATTATGGCGATATGGTAATCACTAATCATCTTACGGGAGACGTTTGTGTGTTGACATTTAAAGCCCGTGGCTGGCGAGGGAAGGATGCGTTCGAAATCAGAGGACATGTAAAAAATTCACAAGGACAAGAGGTATGGGAAATAGCTGGACGATGGAATGAGCGGTTGCTTGCAAGGCCACGTAGTAATTGGTCTTCACCAAGTGAGGATGATCTTGGTAGTGATGCCACCGCAGCTTCTGCAAATGTCGTCGATGGGACTCAGGTGTCGCCTACTCATTATCACGGCAAAATCGTGTTACTATGGAAACGGGCACCACTACCCGAAGAACCGATGCCTTTCAATCTTACACCTTTCGCTATCACTTTAAATGATCTCCCGGACTCGCTAAGGTCATGGTTGGCTCCAACTGATTCTCGTTTGCGACCTGATCAGCGAGGGCTTGAGAATAATCAATACGATATTGCCAGTACTGAAAAAGTACGTCTTGAAGAGAAACAGCGGAGCAAACGGCGTGCGCGGGAGCTTGGTCAGTTGCCTGAATGGAAGCCGCGATGGTTTGAGCACGATATTGAACCAGATACTAACGAAGGGTATTGGAAATTCAATTTCGAATATTGGAAAGAGAGAGAGAGAGTTGGAAAAGAACGAATAAATGGGACGAGTTCTGCAAAATGGGATATCGTTAATGACGACATTTTCTAAGTTATTAATGTTATAGTGTCAGACGTTCGATCACACGTGACTAATCATATACTCCTGTAGACTATTACTATTCTATTCTTGTATTGTGACTAAAAATTCTTTATTTTATTATATTATTCTTATGTATAACCTGCAAATCATTCTTTACTAGAGGAACGTTTAAATAGGCGCATGCCAACGTTCTGGAAGTTTGTCCCACTAAAGCAAATAGGGAAGAATTAATACTGTAGATTCGTCGCATTTAAAATAATAAATAAATAAATATGCTTTAATTTGGCACGTTTGACCCTGAAATCGCTATAGCAAACACCAAGAATTGGTTTGTGCCCTGACAATGTCTTGTTCAGCTGCTTTTTTATGCAGCTCAATTGGTTTTTCAATAAGGGGCTCACTGACAGCTTGCGCCGCCAGAATGTCTATTAATGACATCCTGTATTGCAGGCGGATTGTACCAGCACAAAAGTGAGTCGCTCGTCAGAAAGGACCACAAAGTTTTGGGAGATAACTTAGCACGCTAAGAAGCCAAGATGCTTTTTAATATAGTGCGGAATTGGGGCCTTGAATTTCATCAAGTGTAGTACAAAAGTCTAAGACAAGTTCCACGCGTTGTTTGCATCTTGGACAGAATCTTCTGAACATTAACTGGCAACTATTTTTTAAGGGTCATAAATATTTCGCGGAATTTGTCTCGGTCATAGCAAAAGCTTTATCTACACAGTGAAATTCATTTTAACGAAGTTGAAAGATTCGATATTCCGAAAGTAAGTAATATTTTACGTGATTTTAGTCAAGACGAATATCCAATAAAAATTGTTGGCGATCAAATTTTATTTCAAGATTAAATATTAATATA